GATAGATAGATAGATAGATAGATAGATAGATAGATAGATAGATAGATTTAATTGTTTAAAAGCATTTGCCAGTTTTATATTATTTTATTCTGCTTTGCAGCATTTTTTCATTCTCAAGTCAAATTTTATAAAAAAGATTAAATAATTTTGCTAATTACCCAAAGTTGCTTAAACTGAAAAGGTTTTCCTTTGAATGCTTGGGCATCCAAGCTGGAAGAAAATTAATTTGACTATCCATCAGAAATCATAGATAGAAAAGCTAGTTCATAAGGCAATATATAATATAAAGCAGTGGGGTGCCACAAAGTTCTGTCTTAGGCCCAGTACTCTTCAATATCTTCATTAACAACTTAGATGAGGGAATAAAGGTGAACTTATCAAATTTGGAGATGATACTAAGCTGGCAGGAATAGCTAATACCCAAGAAGATAGGCTCAAGATACAGATGGATCTTGACAGACTACAACACTGGGCCGTATCTAACAGAATGAAATTCAGTGTAGAGAAAAGTAAAGTCCTACACTTAGGCCAGAAAAACCAAAAGTACACATATAGACTGGGTGAAACCAGGCTCAATTGCAGTAACTGTGAGAGGGATCTTGGAGTCTTAGTGGACAACCAGCTAAATATGAGCCAGCAGTGTGCAGCAGCAGCCAAAAAAGCTAATGAAATCCTAAGTTGCAATAACAGAGGGATACAATCAAGATCAAGTGAGGTACTAATACCACTCTATAAAGCCTTAATAAGACCACACCTAGAGTACTGCATCCAGTTTTGGTCACCACATTATAAAAAAGATGTTGAGACTCTAGAAAAAGTACAGAGAAGAGCCACCAGGATGATTAGGGGACCGAAGGCTAAAATATATGAAGAATGGTTACAGGAACTGGGCATGGCTAGTCTAGTGAAGAGAAGGACCAGGGGAGACATGATAGCGGTCTTCCAATATTTGAGGGGCTGCCACAGAGGGGAAGGGGTCAAGCTATTTTCTAAAGTGCCTGTAGGCCAGACAAGGAATAATGGATGGAAACTGAACAAGGAGAGATTTAACCTGGAAACAAGGAGAAACTTTCTGTCAGTGAGAACAATCAACCAATGGAACAGCTTGCCCTCGGAAGTTGTGGGAGCGCCATCACTTGAGATTTTGAAGAAGAGATTGGACTGCCATTTGTCAGAAATGGTGTATGGTCTCCTGCTTGGGAGGGGGGGGGTTGGACTAGATGACCTATAAGGTCCCTTTCAACTCTGATTATCTGTTATATCTATAAAAGGTTGTTCAGCATGCAATAAGCCAGACTTTTGCTTCTGTGCTGACTGTGTATTTTTATGGAATTGTTTGTTTTGAAAAACAGAGATACAGTTGTAATATTTCAACTGCAGGAGGAAGAGTATTTACATGCATGTAATACAATCAGATAACACCTCAGTTATCTGATTGTATTACATGCATAGGCTAAGCAAGGTTGAACACCAAACTCACAGGGCAAGATATTCTTATAACGGTTCTTGCTCTTATTTTCTGGTCTTTGACCCTCGTGTCGATCATACAAATTCTTCGTTTCTTGTTTCTGTAGGCTCTGAAGGAAGAAATGATGAGAAGTTTTAGTAGTGCAGATGTAGCTGACAGCTAAAGAAAAGAGGCACATCTATATTTAAAAAAGAGATGGGAAAAAATAAATCTTCAAATATTAAAATTGTTCAATTAATGGATGTATTGTATTTCACAATTGCTATATCACTATTGATTACGTCCCCGTTGGCTAAGGCCACCTCACATCAGGAAAGTATAGGGAATTATGCTTTCTATGATAAGGAAATGAATTTCTGCTTGAGACATCCTTGGTCTGAGTCCTAATTTTTTCTACAACTGTATTGCGGGTAAGGAAATTTTGGCTTTCAGGTGTTGGTGAATTACAGCTACCTACAGCCATCTTCACTGGGGCTCCTAGGGGGTCCAGAAATGGTGTATGAACCTTTGGATTGCAGCATTGAATCCCAAGGCTAAAAGACAAAGAATAGTTCACTGCAGAAAACTCTACTCACATCAAATTCCTCCCAGAAACCACCTTTGTTTGCCTCTTCTGCTTGACTCCTCCTTTTGAGCATTTCCACTCTGTTTTCAATGTCAGCTGCATTCACTCGAGTGGCATTGAAAGGCTTGGAGAGGGGGAAGGGGGAATGAAATGAAAGAAGAGAAAGAAAAATGGAATGTTGAGACAGAGAGTAAGAGCAACAAGGTGCCCATGATATTTCCCTTATCAATTTCACGTGTCGTGGGTCAGATTCTAATCTAATTTAATGTTGTTTTATCTTTTCTTAAATTTATAAAACAAATAAATACTAAGAAACTAGCAGATTATAGGCAAAGCATCAGCTTCTGAGATGAGTTATATTTCCAAGAATATCTCTGAAACCTGCAGATGGTCTCTAACTTCCTTAGAAACTAAGTATGATCCATAGTTGCAGCTATCCCCGAATTTTGTTTGCAAATGTGATAAATGTCCAGACAGACCAGATTGCAAGAACCAATGGATACCACAAAGGAAGATAAAGAGAGTTGCAGGGATCCATCACTTTTCCCAATCTGATTCTGGGAAAATGGACATTTTATAGTTGGACATACTGACTAAGTCACCATATGAATTTTGTTCCAAATTTTGACAACAAAGAACTTGGGAAAAATTCTAGGTTTACACTGTTCATGTCACTCTAAGTATGGTTTTAGTCATGTTTTGTTGAATAAGTTACAATGGCTGGGGTCATAAATTCTACTAAACTATAAGCCACCATGACTGACTGTGTAGAACTTGTAAAACCAAAATCAAACAAATCACATTGCTATCTTATTCTTGTGCAAATCTAACTTGTTTCTCTGTACAGGATGTTAAGGCTAACTATTAAAGCAAAACTAGAATCTGAGAAAAGTAGTTGATGAATGAAAAAAATCAAGGACATGAAGTTAAGATTTATGGATGTATCTGATGCTAAATTTCAGTAGTGGTTTAGAATTCATTAATTTAACTTGTACATGCACACCTTATTAGCACAGCTGGCTTTGTGATTATCATGAACAGATTGTCTTCAATTTTGAGACTTAATATTATTGATGCTAATAATATTACATTTATACACACACATAATACATAATATCTTTCTACAAACTGTATTAGACAACATAATGAAATTTACCTTTTGAATAATTCAGAGATAAGTTTGATAAGTAATAGCTTATATACCTGTCTCAAATATACATAAAATCCAGATGCTTCCTCAATTCCTGTCTTCTTAAAATGTTCCACTAAGTCAGTCAAACTGAGGAATCTTGCTGCACCCCCAATTGTGTACTGTCCTTTCTAGAAAAATGGAGAACACAAAAAGCATTATTATTCCAGTCCCTCATATATGTAGGTGCCTTTCTGCCTATACATACACAGACTTAATCTTACTGCTATATTTTATTTTTTACTATTATCTTTTCAATCCTGTGGAAAGCTAATCATCACAACCACTTTAATTAAAACAATTAAATATTTTATTCACATTTTGTCTCTGGTTATGAATCAATAATGCAATCATCTCTTTATGCAAATGTATTTTAGACAAAATATTGGATAATTAAAATGTTTGTCTCTTCTTAAGATTATGGGTTTGTTTTTGTTTTTTGGTTTTTTGGGGGTGGGGGGTGGGGCGTGATTCTGCAAAGCATTCCAATGAGAAACCAAAGGCTTGGTACAGCAGCTTCAAAGGGCATCCATCCAGGCAAAGGTACTTGTGGATACATACTGATAATCTCATAAATGCCATACAGAGCATGTCTGGGACAACCTCTGAACAGTCATGTATGCCTTCTACAAGGCACAGCTACTTAAACACTTCCATTTTGAGGATGAAGTTTTTGCTCCAACACATTGACTCTGCACAGACTCCTTTTAAATGTTTTTAATAGCTCTTGAAGTTTCAGACTCCCTCTTTGTTTGTTCTTCTTTTGCATGATTTTTTAATGTTTTGTTGATGGGCACCTCTAGCGTGGCAGGCTCTTAAATGTCCCTGTTAGATGAAACCACAGGGGTACAAGTGGTAAACTCCCTGCTTCTCCCATCCCTGCTACTAAGGAAAGCCTAATGAAAACTAATGAATACCAATCCCTGAGCAAAGGGACAAACTTCCTTTCCTTTGAGGCTAAATAAAAAGGGAAAAAGACTTCAGGAAAATTTTCATTCTTTGAATCTCTTCAGGAGCAGTAGTTGGCTGCTGGGAAGGAAAAGAAGGAATCTTAAGCCCAGTCCAAACTGAGGTGAAATCTTCCAAGGCCCAGCATAAATATAGTCTAATCCAGGTTTCTATGAGCAATGAATATTAGAGAGAAGTACTATGTGAGGGTTGCTTTTATTTTGTGTGTCCACAAGGCAAAGAGCCAGTTTCTTTCCAAGCTATTCTTCCTTAGGACCTAATTTTCATATTGTGCCTTTGTTTATCCAACATCTCCTGAGATTTAATACAACCGAAACCAAGTACACATCAATGTTTTCTTTTCTAGAAAACAATGCTCTTGTATGTTCCTAATAAAAGCTCAATACTATTCAAAATATTCATTTTTTGAGTTACTTCAGAATTTTAAACTGATATAGTAGTATGATTCAGGAGATCTAGAGTATTGGAAGAATTGCTTATCCCTTTTTCTCCAGACACTACAGAAAAATAATAATGAAAGTTTTCAGGGTTCTTTTTTATCTCCGGTGTTACTTAACATCTATATCAAACCACTAAGAAGGATTCTTTGAAAGTCTGGAGCTAGTTGTCTGTCAAGCCCACTTTAGTTAGGCTTAGTATATATTCTTTTTCTTACTTTCTCTGTGGCAGTCATGGGGGGAAGGGTTTCGGGCTTGACACATTCCTAAGCGGGGAGGAGTAGAGATAGAGAGAGTTGTTTTGGCTAGGTGATTCTTCTTCCCATGGGAAAACGAGCTGTCCGTGCTTAGGCCCCTTGAGGTGGAGATTTATGACATCAAGCAACGTTGAATTACTTCTATTGGAGAATATGACTTTTAATATTGTGGGGTAATTCCGGGTTGTGTCAGATCCGGAATTACCATGGACTTTGCCAATTTGATGCTTTCCTAAATAAAAGAAATTGTCTTGGAAGATGGACTTTGTTCTCTTCTTTTTAAATGGATTTCATCACTTGGAAACCCGACGTTGTCATTATTAATGTAGTACTTATATGTAAGGGGCTGCCACAAAGAAGAGAGGGTCAATCTATTTTTCAAGGCAGGATAAGAAGCAATGGATGGAAACTAATCAAGGAGAGAACCAACCTAAAACTAAGGGGAATTTCCTGATAGAACAATTAATCAGTGGAATGGCTTGGCTCCAGAAGTTGTGGAAGCTCCATCACCGGAGATTTTAAGAAAAGGTTGGACAGCCATTTGTTTGGAATACTTGAGTAGGTGGTTGGACTAAACGAAGTGCAAGATTCTGTTATTCTGTTACTTATTTATCCATTCCTTTTCTGTGATTTGCGGGGGGGGGGGGGTTTTACAGTGAGCAGGGAATTTGACATAGACAGAACTGAGATGTTAATGATTCTAGGAGCTACATTTTAGAATCTGGGGGGAAATGCCTATTTTGGATTTATTTGTTTATTTGTTTATTTATTTGATTTGTCAATTGCTTACAAAATAATAGGTATAAGTATAAACATGAGTAAGAATACAGAAAATAGGTACGATTAAATGGGGACAATAGGACAGGGACGGGAGGCAAGATGGTGCACTTATGCACGCCCCTTTATTGCACTCATACTTAATGGCAGTCTGGGGAACCTTGAATATGCAAATAATATTGGACATCCCCACAAAATCAATAATAAAGGATCATTTTTATCAGCTTTGGCTGATAAACCAATGTGCCTCTCTACCTGGAAGTGACAAACTAGGCTTCTAAATTCTTTAAATAGAGATCAAGTATAATTAATGAACAATTAAAATGATTACTTTCTGTTTAATAGTTGTCTCTTATGGGACCCTAAACATTGAATTTGGAGGGCTCTTAAAGGCAGACCCTCCCTAATAGTTCACACAGTATATAGTAGATTGAGATAACAGAATTTTCAGTCTGGCAAGATTTCGTCTATAAGTATTAAACAATAACAATCTCAGCTTGGAAAAATGTCATTCTTGGTTTTGAGCCTGACAGTAATGAAGTATTTCAGAGAAGTGAAATCTCCAGGTTTCACCAGAGGTTTTAGACTTTTAACCTCCTTCTCAGGATCTCCAGATGAAGAAGTAGAAACTCAGCTATGGGGGCAGTATCAAAAGAAAAAAGAAAAAAAGGGGGAACTTCCAGTTTGGTAGCCTTCGGCGGCGGCAGGGATTTGCCACTGTGCGATCCCTGCTGCGTTCACCGCCAAGGTTCCCCCGATCCATTTGGATCTGGGGGATACAGCTGCCCTGTAGAGGCAGCGGAAGATAGGGGGGATCCGGCAAGGGGTTTGGGGGTGCCGCAAACCCCCTCCCCAGACGGCTAAACTCCCTTTTCCCGAGGCGGAGGAACGGCGGTCAGCAATGGCCGCCACGAAGAAAGCTGCAGCCAGGTAAGCAAGTGCAGGAGGGAGAAAGCTGAAAGAAAAGTGAAAGTTGCTTCTAACTGGGACAAGACGGGAGAAAGTGACTTGGAACCTTGAAAGCTGTTAAGTATCTATTGTTCCTTGCGAGAGTTACAAGCTGTGAATACCTTAAAGGGAAAAGTTTTTTTTTCTTTGTTCGACTCTCCTTCCTAAAGTGACAGCGGGAAAAAAAAATATCTTTTTGGCTGTGAGTGGGAAGGGAGAGTGAAAAAAAAAATCTGAGCAAAATTTGAAAATAAGGAGAAGATTGCCTAGAGTTGCAAAGAGTTTAAAAACTTCCAAAAAATATATTTGAAAAGGATTTGTGATTACTTTAACCCCAGAAAGAGAAAGTCAAGAAGAAGAAGGTATCTAAAAGAAACAGTCTGTTTGGATTGTTTGGTGATTTTGGAACCTTTGGAAATTACTTCTGATTAAATCATCTGGGTGGTTGTTTGGAAAAACTTTTTCTCTACACAATGGCATCATCTATGGATGAATTGGAACTTATATATCAAAAATTTGAAAGAGAAAAACAAGGAGGGGAAGATGGACTTGGCACTATTTTCCAATACTTAGAAATGGCGGTTTATATTTATGTGAAGCAGAATGAGGATAATGGGGACAAAGAAGAAGAAGAAGCCATCTTTGATGAGAAAAGGACTTTGATTGGAGAAGGGAAAAAGCGGAGGTCTTTAAGATCTGGAAAAACAGCCCAAAAAGAGAAGAATAAGGTGAAAAAGGGACATTATGTTAAGAAACAACAGAAAGGGGGAAAGCAGAATAAAAGGGAGGTGGGGAGACAAGGGGTTAAAGAGGACAAGGAGAAGAAGAAGCAAGGGAGAAAGGAAGGGATGAGAAGCCTTAATGGTGGGGAGCAAGATATTAAGAAGCAAAAGTTTTTCAGAGATAATGGATAAGTCTTATTGTTAATGGGATTCTAGAAAGGTACATAAGATTGCATTTTTATATCTGTATTTAGAAGTAATTATAGAAAATTAGAAATAATATGTAGTTTAAAATGTGATAAAATATTTAACATAAACAAGTGAAATTTTTGTTAAGAAAAAGGGAGTACTGTAATGAAATATGATTTAAGATTGTGATGGGGGGGGGGTAATAATCGTGGAAAGCATAAGTGTTCCCACAAAGGCATGATATTCAATTGAAATGGATAAAATGTTTAAGATATAAATGATTGTTAATATTAATAATTAGAAGATGGTATATTAGCAAACCCTTTGTGAAATGAGATTTGAAGTAGAAGAAGGAGGAACATTTCAATGAAATATTGAGCTATAATATGTGATGTGGGGGGGGGGAATAATTTTGAAAAATAGGGCTCTCATAAAAGCATGTGATTTAATTGAAAAGTAATGAGTTAAACATCTAAGATATGAATGAATATCAATATTAATGAATAGATTTGTATTATTTTTGATAATATAGTATAATTTTAGAATGTACCAGACAGAATCCCAATGTATGTTATGTATTTTATATTAAGTACTATAAATATAGGGGAAAAAGATAAAGGCATCATACTCCATATAGTGTATAGGAGAAGTATTTCTTCTTCTTTTTTAAAGAAGAAAAATAAATGATTGGCTGGAACAGAACAGACAAAGAATAATAAATATTACGATATGAATTGAGAGGAGATAAAAAAATAAAAAAAATAAAATTGAGAAAATTTAAAGGAGAGGAGAAGTTATATAGAAAATTGAAAATGTTAAGAAGATATGAAATGGTATGTAAAATGAATATGAAATTGAATTTGTGTCTGTACCAAGAGTTTTAACCCGGGAATAAGCAACTTTCAGAAAAGAGATTTTTTATATTTGTATGTTTTGTGTTTATGTGTATTTATGTATTGTTTGTCTTGAAAAATAAAACTTGTTTAAAAAAAAAAAAGAAGCTATTTTATGCTTGGGCTGTGAGGCTGACTATACACTGCAGAGTCAATGGCTTCCATTTGAGCTCAGACGAAACCCAGAGACACAGTCAAGCTCTTCTCTTGATCTATCAGATATCAATCTCTCCCTTGACTAAGGACACATTGCATTCCTTCCCTACTTCACCAGGCCCACATCTTGGTGCACATGATGCCACTCTTATCTCTGAGAATCCAGCTCCTGGATCTCAAGAGAATTGACTATAGCTACCTTTGTCATCTACTATGGCCAAACAAGGCCAAATTTGGTTCCCTTTTTGTTTGAGGTGCAACTAACCTTTCATTGGTAAAGATACCGAATGTAGGGATACAAATGTGGAATATTACAGATCAATTGATAAACTGTTAAGAATCATGAAATTCCCAATTGGATTGTCATCTGGAGCCACGCAAGAAGGTGAAAATGATTTGTCTACCATCTTCCAGGTAGTGAAGTCCTCTCTATCTCCTTGCCATTTGTCAGAAATGGGCCGGGGGTTAGACTAGATGACCTACAAGGTCCCTTCCAACTCTGATTATCTGTTATCTGCTATTTTCTAAAATGCCTGTAGGCCAGACAAGGAATAATGGATGGAAACTGAACAAGGGGAGATTTAACCTGGAAATAAGGAGAGACTTTCTGACAGTGAGAACAATCAACCAATGGAACAGAAGTTGCCCTCGGAAGTTGTGGGAGCGCCATCACTTGAGACTTTCAAGAAGAGATTGGACTGCCATTTGTCAGAAATGGTGTAGGGTCTCCCGCTTGGGAGGGGGGTTGGACTAGATGACCTACAAGGTCCCTTCCACTCTGATTATCTGTTATCTGTTATCCTCCTTCACCTTCTCTCCCACCTTCTCACCTCACACATAATCTTGATATGGGTAACTTTGAGTCGTTCATGGCTGTGGGCTCCAGTAACATCAGTCCTAGGTTTAGGCTGGTCAGTCAGGACAGACAGCACAAAATCACCAGGCTTGCTAAGGCTCTCACGCACTAAGAAGGTCCACGGTGCAGTCTTGCCTTGGAGCAAAGCCTCAGCTGCTGGACCAGAAAGATGTCCATGGTACCACCTGAGAAGAGAAGTGAAATAAACAACCGATTTGTAGAGTGGCTACAAAATAAAAGTGACTGGAATGTAATTAAACTAATGGAAAATTTGGATCATGATCAAGAAGGGACAGAAAGGAAAAACAATTATTAAGAAAGCTACATGAATCAACAAAAAGATATTAAATATAGTTTTTGCTTTCTTTTATGTAAACAGTAAAATAAATCTAGCCATAATTCTTATTTTTACTGATTATTTTCCTCCCTGATAGGGTAAACGTGCATGCATAGATTTTAAAATGTTGATTTATAAGGAGCAATTTTGTTTTTGTTCTTGTTATTGTCTGCTTAGCCATTTAGCACTCAGTAAACTCATCCAAATGTATTTTACCCAAATCTCAGTAAATTTAAAAAAAAAAAATGAAAAACAGCCTGTCTGTGAAAAAGCAGAAAAAAACATTTATTATGGGAAAAGGCAGCAAGTATTAAGGACATCATAAACTACATGGAGAAAATAAAACAATGTGATTTACCCCAAGTTAGTTTGGGGGTAATGTAGGTAATGGCAGGGATCCAGTTCATTAAAAAAATCAGTGAGGAAAAAGCTCTCTAATGGGATTTGCCACCATTTTGTACAACAGTATAGTGACCGTAATTGAACCCAAAATTTCCATTAGTAAGCAAAGCAATTGTTAAGTGAGTTTTACCCCATTTTAACAACCCTTTTTTGCCACAGTAGTTAAACAAATCACTGTAGTTGCTTAGTGAATCATGCGGTCATTAAGTGAATCTGGCTTTCCCTTTATTGGCTTTGCTTGTCGGAAGCAAGACTGGGAAGGTTACAAATGGTGATCACATGACCCTTGGACTGTGCACCTGTCATAAGTACATGCCACTTGCCAAGAGCCTGAATTTTGATCACGTGACCATGGGGGATGCTGCAACAGACATAAGAAAACCGGTCATGCTTTTTTTCAGTGGCATTGTAACTTTGAATGGTCACTAAATGAATGGCTGTAAGTTGAGGACTATCTTTACTGCACCTCAGTATCTCAGTGTTTTTCAGAGGCCTGGATCTCAGACTAGAACTAGCCAGATGGGCTACAAAAACCAAACAAAAACCTTAACAGGATTAAATCTTTTTTTTTTTTTTAAAGGTTACATTTTCAGTTGTAATAGTGAAAATTTTTTTCAAGGCAGTAGCAAATGGTACTAAGGCACAACTTTTTAAACATTTAATCAGCACATAGGAAGCAACATTCTAGAAATTTCCTACGGTGCCTAAAATCTTACTAGCTCTTAGCACAACATCTCTTCCCTCACTGTGGATGAGCTGCTGATGCCAGCATTCCCAAAACCATGTTTACCAGGTCTATGCAAAGGTAACCAAGAAAAGTTGTCCATACAAAACCTTGTCAAGTGAACAGGCAAGAGTTTGCCCAATGAAATAACTCCAGGGACTTATTTGTGTGTGTGTTGGTGTGTTTGTGTGTTCTGTTCCCAAGTGAAATGCCCTCTGCGTCTTCCTTTCCTGGGTCTCTGGAAATATCACAGGTGAAACTTAGCATGGTATGGCTGCCAATCTCCTTTCAGTAATAAATTTAGTTGCCATGACACAATAACTATGTAAAGAGTAGGAGGAGAAAACCCCAATTTCACCTTGTTGTGTTCTTCTGCCAATACAGACATGCTGCAAACAAAGTTTTGTTACTTCATTAGATTTCCATTTGGTCAGTTACCAGAAAACTCAGTTGGTCAGACCAAATCCTAAAATTTACAACCCTTTTTATATTTCCCCTAAGTTCATTTAGTGTCAACTCATACCCAACTGTAAATCACATAAACATTCCCTGAGCATGAAATGTATCTGCAAAATTAAAATGTTGGATCTTTCTCTGAAATTAAAGTGCTTAAGAATTTATTTATTTAATGAGCCTCAATGAATTACACACCAACTTGGCACAAAAAGAAAACAAATGTGAATGTTGTAATTCTGTTGCACACTCCATGATTAATAATAGATAGGGGCTTTTCAGATGATGTTGACCTTTTAGAATGAAGGAGAAAATCAAAATTCTTCTTGGTGAACCTTAATGTCTCCTGCCTGAATATATTATATTTTTATTGTATGTATATGTGATTAACTCTATATTCCTTCAAAACTCTATAGCAAAATAATTATTCCTTATTAAAGAATTATAAGTAGGAAAATTAAAGAGTGTGAGGATTTTGTATCCATAGTTAGTAATTAGTCTACATCAAAAGAGTAAATTTTCTGAACTTCAAAATTTGAACACCATTTTGAAATGAAATTAGAAGATCAATTTTTATATACTCCATTTCCACTAAGGCGTTGTTTTGCTAAACACTTTCTGACTTTGTCTTTCTTACAGCAAATCTATAAATTTGAAAGTTGCCTCAAAGTGAATCAGAAGGTTACAAATCCAAAATCAGATTAAGATAAAGCATCACGGATTGGCAAAAAGATGAGAAAAAATCCTCTTATGGAGGGGATTTTTTTCTTGTATTACTGTAATACAAATCATGATAATCTTTGACTTACAAACTGTAATGGAGCCTGGCCACTGATCTGATTTTGAGACTCTTTTTTGTGGCACTTATTAAGCAAACACTGTGATCGTTAAGCAGACCCATTATTCACTATGGGGCATTTTGGCTGAAAACCAAAAGTAAACAATGTATTTTCAGCAAAAATTGTAAATCATGATCATCAGGCCCTGGGACATTGCAAATGGCCATAAACACAGCCCAGTTGCTGAATGCCTGAAATGCAGTCATGCTATTGACTGCAATAACAGAGGCAAGGGGGGAAGAGATGGCTGTCAGAAGTTCACAACCAGGTCATAAGTACATTTTGGGGTGTATCATAACTTTGAATGGTCATTAAGCAATCGGTCATAAGTCAAGGACTACATGTTCCACATTAATTTATTACATTAATACATCGCCCAATTCCATTACATCTCTAGGTAGTTTACAACAGAAAATTATTTAAAACAATGTAATACAAACAATATGGGAAGCATGAGAAAATACCATTGCAGGAAGAAATTATTAAGAAAATATTGGAATGTGCTGAAATGAGCAGATTGACACTTGAAATTAGAGAACAAGAGGATAAACAATTCTATGAAATTTGGGACCTTTTCTATCAATGGTTGGATGATAAAACACAATAATAGAATATTTAGAATTTTAGACAATAATGAATAAATAAAGAGATATTTTTTTCTTTTTTATTTGATATCATATTTATAAAATGTTTTTAGGATAGATTTGGTACGATTACATGATTTGTTATAAAATAAACTAAGTAATTATAGCTATCTCGCAAAGTATGAATGAATAAAATTATAGTCAAATGATTGTTTAATAGTGATACTAGGGTATATAATTTTTGATTGATAATATGAGTGATTATGTAATGTAACTGTAATTGAGACTACAAAATGGATGCACAAAAAATTGGTAAACCAACCGACACACTGTATGTATATTTATGAAAGAAAGCTGGATGTTTTTATGTTTTGTTTGTTTTGTTTGTCTTTAAAAACTAATAAATTTTTTTTAAAAAAAACCAAACAATATGGGAAGCAGATATCTAGGGAAATTGCATAAATCAGTTTTACGTAGGAACCCTGGTGATGTAGTGGTTAGATGCAGTATTGCAGGCTAAATCTGCCCACAGCCTGGAGTTCGACCCTAACCAGTTCAAGGTTGACTCAGCCTTCCATCTTTCTGAGGTCGATAAAATGAGGACCCAGATTGTTGGGGGCAATATGCTGACATTATAAAAACATCCCAGAGAGTGCTGTAAAGCACTATGGAATGGTGTGTAAGTCTAAGTTCGATTGCTAAAAATCTTGAGGGGTCCACCACCCACTCTGACATGAGCCTTGGGGGGAAAGCCTGATTTTTAAGGCATTGCTTAAATAAGACCAGAGTGAAAGGGGTGTCATATGTGGCAGCTAAACTGCTCATCAGTGCCAGATACAGAGATGACAGGATGCTTATTCTGGAAGATCTACCTGGTGGCCAACTGTTTAATTTAAAGTACTAATCTTTTAAGGCTGACATGATCTCGTAGACAACCCTCACTCTGTCAAGGACCTAGGAGTATTCATCTCAAACGATCTAAACCCCAGAGCTCACTGTAACAGCATTGCCTATATTTTATTTCTTAATAAAATAAAGTCACTTGGTACCACCTAAAACCTGAAGCCATTCATTCCCCTGATTACCGAATTCCATCTGAGATTTCTTCATCTGGAAAAATACTTTGCAACAAAACGAATACTTTGTTTTCTTGAAATATCCTTCTAGGAGATGAGCTAAAATCTTGAAATGCGGTTTTCTCCACAGCATTTTTCTGAATCCATTATTGATACTTATTTTTCTTCCAGATTTTAAATAATAGTAAGTCATTATTATTTTGCACAGTAAGGCATGCAGTTTTCTGATTACATAAGATCACAATCTGATAATGCAAGTAAATGTAGCTTTTATTGTATTTTTTCCGAAGTAATATGTTAAAACTTGGAAAGAGGCAAAACAAAAATTGCACAAAAATGTCTGTCTCCTGAATGGACACTTTTCAATAAGTACTGAAACTGTTTCCACAAATCATCTCAGACCCTGAAATTGTGGAACTTACAAGAATAATGGGGCAATTTTATTTGTCTAATTGCTACCAATTCCCTATATTAAGATCTCTTCCTTTATCTTATATCTGGAGCAAATTTTTTACTTCAGCAATTGTACTTGTTGTGCTAGAGAGGTGCTATTTTACATGATGTATCAAATAAGATATTTCACATATTGTACCTCTCTTATTCTCAGTTTGAGTAAAATAATCTTTAATTTTTAATTTTTAAATTGCACAATGTGTTTTACAAAGTAATCTGTCAACTGCCAACACATACTTTGATTAATTAGATATCAAATATGCCAACGAAACATTTGCTTTTAGTGATCTTTTAGTTGTGAGGTATTTTTACAATAGGGAATAAAAAACAGATTTCAATATATTTTCTAGATTGTTGTAAAGTAACTAGCTGCCCACCCTGCTCCCCAGCTTAAATTATATTGTTGTTGTTATCTTGCAATTATTTCACTCTTTTCAAAGACACTATAGGAAATGTTGAAATCTATAAATAAAGACATAGTTGAATACTGTTCTTAAACTGTTACGCAAACTGTGGTCATTTCTGCAGTATGTTGACCTGGAAAGGCTCAAGATGCTTCAGTCAGTCCACAATGCGACAACTACGATTTTACAGCCTCTAAAAGTTCAGGATTTCATATCATGACACACTGATTACCAGTTTTCTTATGGATATTGTCAAAGGTACTAAGCAACTTGGGGTCAATTTACTTAAAGATTAGCTGTTCCCAAAAAACTCTGGCAATTCTGAATAAAAATTCTGGAAAACTTCTATTCAAGCTAGTTTGATATCCATTCAAAGTGAATCTTTGTGATAATCGCTCACTTCGACTGCAGAATACTTCCTCTGGTTCTTAATGTCACAGTTTCGCCCAGTTTTATTTAGTTCATTTTCTAATTAATTCTGAGACCAACAGTGGTGGGATTCAAATTTTTTTACTACTGGTTCTGTGGGTGTGGCTTGGTGGGCGTGGCAGGGGAAGGATACTGTAAAATCTCCAGTCAGAGGTGGTATTTTCCAGTTCTCTGAACTACTCAAAATTTCCGCTACTGGTTCTCCAGAACTGGTCAGAACCTGCAGAATACCATCTCTGGAGTCCAACCTTTCTGGACTCAGGTTTTAGCTGCTGCATATATTACATTTAATATTGGTTTTAAAGAACAGGTTTATTTTTAAATACTGCTTTGAATTATTTTTTTAGTAGTTTTGAATATTTTCAGCTGATATTACTAACTTGCAAAATATGAGTAACAGCATTTATGTAGGCCACAGCATTTTAATGGCTTCTATTTTATTTTGGCATGATTCTTATACAATGAAGAAATCAGTTTTGATTTTTAAATACAGAGTTCTTCGGCTGGATCAGAGTAGGAAGCAAAACAATCAGAGCCAAGGCAAAATGTAAGAGTCATGAAATTGGGAGAGGTTCCCAAGGAGGTTATGTTTACTTGCTTAAACTACTGAAATATGACAAACTAGAGTCACATTGTAATGTTTGCCACTTTCTGTGGAGGAAAAGGTAATTGTGGATGGAGATTTATGATTAACATTTTGAGTTTACATCCATTATTTTAATTAACTTTCCAAAGAAACAGTAAAGCAAGTCAGAGATTATCACATTGTTTAGATTTTTCACTTCTACCGTTAGGAATGTAGAGAGACCCTAATATAAAGAAGAATAAACACTCATAGCCTGCCTATTTATGTATTTGCTCATTGTTTGTTTGTATTCTGCCTTTATTATTTTACAAATAACTCAGGTTGAACATATCCAACATACCTTCCTCCTCCTATTTTTCCTACAAAAACCTTGTGAGGTGGAGTGGACTGAGAGAGAATGACTGGCTAATCCCCCAGCTGGTTTTCATGGCCTGATGCCTTAACCCACCAAACCAAACTCGCTCTCAAATTATGTTCTTATACAAAAATCATATTTTAAAAAAATTGAGAGATTAGATAAATCCTTTATATATTTATTAATAACTCTGGTAGCCTAACCAGAGTTTTATAAATGGCCATTTAATGCACTTATCAAGCTACACATTCAACTCACTGGTCTGTAGTTCTACACATTCAACTCACTGGTCTGATAAGGGGGGGTCAATGAATTTTGTTGAAGAGAATAATACAATAAATGCAATCACTAAAGTTTTTATTAGTGTAGGGAATTTTAGAGATCACACTGCTTTTGTTTTAGAATTTTTTTCTTTAAAATAGGAGGGAATCTGTGCTCCTGCAGAAGAGGCTAAACTACATGTCCTAGCAACCTCAATGAGTAATAATGAGAGAAGAGGGAAGCTATATTTTGACAACTACGTCCGTTCCAAAAGAGGTTCCAGAATATAGAACTGCTGGGTAGGAAATGAACAAAGCTATCATTTGCTAAGTGAGCCTCTTTCCCTCTCAGAGAGGAAACAGTTAAGCTCAGTGGACCAAGTGGAGGGGAAGCCACGTGATGGAAAATCTTGGTTGGTTGGTGGGGAGGGTGGCTGAGTTTTCGTAAGAGCCTGGAGGACAGAACTTTCCAACCGCAAGGGAGGAAGCAGCAGGCTCCCTGGCCAACTGCTGCCTTTGGATGTGAGCAGGCCTGCACACAAAGACCTAGAGAGGATAAATAGACCAATTCTTTTCAAGGGAACAGCAGTTTGTTCTGGAACAGGACAAACCCAGTTCTGTCTCATGAATGGCTTAACATACCATAGAACATAGAATCACAGGGCTGGAACTGTCCATAACCAATATGAACCAAAGCCGCCCATTTTAACACAATTTCCAGATGGGTCGCAGTAAGAAAACAAAGAGTCATAGGGCATCATAATGACAAATGCATTTCCACAAAGGTTTATGCCATCATAAGGCTTACAAGCTTGCAACAGAAGAAGAAACACAAAATAAACCTGCGAAAATAAAACGTGTGACCCCGGACGAAAGATTTTCTTGATACCCGCTTGTTATCGACACCACAATCTTTGCATTTTAACAATGTGCCAAAAATAACAAATCAGTGAAACAAAAGAAACCTAGTTTCTAAATATAAGTCACATCAATATTGAAACTTCATCACATGACAAAATTTGGTATGTGCTCTATAACCTTCTGTCTTAGGGAATCTCTCAGTTTAAGAAAGCTTGAAAAGTAAAAGGGGAACAATGCTGAGAGGAAAGTTAATCATTCATTATATCCTATACTAAAAGAACAAAGGACATGTAAGAATACATTATATAGGACACATTTATTTATATACTTCTAAACAGTGGTTAGCTTTTTTCAGGTGTTATAAAAAGGAACTACACTGTATCTCCATTCAGAAATACTCAGGATCTGTGGAGTCTTTCCACTTGAGTGAATATCTTGATTTTCCAGGGTCCTCTTGAACATGGACAAAAAGCGGGCATTGTGAGAAGTCCTGCCCCACAGAAGTCCACAAGGAGGACCATGGAAAGGATACTGGACCAAGAATTTTCTCCACATGAATAAAACCATCCTGTTTGTAAGAGGGCCTGAAGCGGTTTTCTACTTAAGCAGTGGTGCAGCATTTGTAGGTGTGATTGGAATGAACACACATTGGTATGCCCTGATGGATATGCATTAATATTATTTAAGCATATTAAGTGTAGTCTGTTGCTGGATAACTGGGATAACTGGGACCTTTTCAGATTTCAGAAGTTTCCACAAGAGATCCAGTGTTATTGATAATGAGGGAGCCTGGAGTTATATGGAAAATGAAGACAAATAGCTGCACCTAAAGATGACAGCATTAGAGAAAATTTTAGCCAACCCTTTGGCTCAGCATCCCACAACTGTTTGTCAACAAAAACCAGGAACAAGAGGCCTTGATTGCCCACATGTGGCTATGTCTCCTTTCTCCTTTTCATTTTGAGAATTTCCTTATAGTTCATACTAATTACTTACTTTTTCTTTCCTTTTAATAAACCATTCCAGTATCTTTAAAATTATCATTAGCATTTCTTCTTTATTATTTTTATATTATTTATTTTCATTTAGAATTTTACTTCCTGAAGCTGTTTTTGCAGGTACATTTAATTTAAAAAAAAAAAAAGAATATCTGCACTAATTATATGCATAATGGCTTATGCAGACGTAGTAACTTTTCCAGACAGTTCAGTACTATGTATTCCCTACTGAATATGCACCAGGGCTTATTTCTGCATAGAAAAGCAGCAATTATTTTATGAGCAGTATTTAAGTGACCCAATCATGCAAGATTCACCATATGCTTAGGCTTAAAATCTTTCAATTCAAAAATTGAATCTCTCTCTATATTTCAAACTATGCAATTAATGATTGCTCTTTCTTCTCAGGAGTCCCAGGACAGTACTAGGTATAACTTGATATGGACTTGTAAACAGTTACCTCTTCCTGGAGTCCATTAGTTTTCATCTAAAAGGCAACTGCATAACTAGAATAGGGCATGCATATATGTGTGTGCGCACACACAGACACAGTGTTTGGCTTTATTTAACATCTTGTCTGAGAAAGACCTCTCTTAGAAGAAGAAATTTACATTCAAGCTGAGATGTAGATATTGGTTATTTTCATGATCTTAAATGTTAGCGGAATTTTTAATACTCTTTTTAATTATTGTCTTACCTGCTTTGTGTACTTTTTAAGTAGAAACATAGAAAATAAAAGTATTTTAGACCATATTTTGCTTGCCACACATATTTGCCACACATATTTTGGAGTAACACATAACGTTCTTTCATATGTTCCAGATAAATGAATGTCTTTGTAGAGCATTTAGACTATCATTCAGAAAACCCTATAGGATCTAAAAAAATCATGGAAGGACCTAAGAGATCATCAAGTCTAGTCCCCACACACTGCAGTATTCACTACACCATCCCTCCTAGATGACTATTCAGACAGTGCATGAAAATAAATAATCACTAAATATATTATATGTAATGTACAATTATATCTACAGTACATAGATCCACAGCAGAGATACATATGTACAAATGATAAAAGGCATAACTATAAAGTGTGAGCACCCCTCCACTGAGGCTCAATGTGAAAAGGAAAGTCAAGATGGATACGGTGCTATAGGTAGAAGCAAGTGTGCTTTCCTCATACCTTTCTGTTGTGGGATCAGAGCAGTTGAGTGGATATCTCAAATCGATGATGGTTCCATCTTTATCTTGCAGGGATCCCTGCTGCTGTGTATAATACTCCACCAATTCTGATAGAGTAGCAAATTTCTCTCCTCCATAGAGATCATAATAATCCCCAGTATTCTGGATACGGATGTGAGTTACCTCATCACCAACCCTAAAAGAGAGAGGCAGAAGCTTCTCATCAATTGATCAGAAAGGGAAGAACAAAGGAGAAATTATCCTTCACTATTACTCCTGGTAGGAATTCTAGACCAAAATAAGGGATCTCGAAGAGTTGGATGGATTACTTGGTGTTTGCTCTCACCCAGAGTTTATCATCCATCCCACAATATATGAGTTGAATATAAGATTTTTATCCAAACTGGAGAATTAGGGCTAGAATGAAGCTGGAGCCAGTGATTGTATTTGTAGATGTACCACGGAGTTTAGGAAGCTGGGATTTGGGGTTGTTTTTATTTTGGGGGGAGGATATTGACTTTCTTTGGTTTTTACTTCTGTTTTTGTAAGCCACTGGAATTGTGACACATAGGAAGGGTGGCCATATTTGCCTTTCAAATAAATAAATACATAAGACTGAATTCTGCAGAAAGCTAGCTAAAAAGATTGTACCTTTGGCTCCCCGTGGCATTTCTCCAACCGTAATTTCACTTGATTTTTCATGCTTTCTATGTTAAGACAGGCAGATGTAATAGAATTAGAAGTGGCATTGATATTTTTACTTACTTCAAAATGTTTAACCAGGAGTGTAATTCAGAAGAAGGTTTACTGTATAAGATTAATACTCAAGTTAGTGGAAATTCCAATTTAAAAGAAAGGAAGGAATAAAGTTGCTTTACTGAAATGGAGGCCAGTTGAAAATTAACATGGGAGTCAGAAGCTGTGGAAGGTAGTCCCTATGGGAAGGCTTGAACCCGGTCTTTCTGTTCCAATGTCTGATGACTTCCTCAAACCATGGACATTTTTTTAAAGAGCATTGTGCCGCTAGCCTAGGGAGCTGTTTATTTTGTTTGGAGGCCTGTTCCCGGAAAAGTCAGTATTATGCCATCATCAGATTTATTTCAGAGAAAGTTGTAGAGAGAATCAGTCTCTGAATTTACCATCAAGTCTCTCTTCCAAATCCCCCATCCCCCCCAAAAGGCAAAAGTCTCTGGGGAAAACCCCAGAGAAAGAATTCATCTTCAAGTTTGTGGAAAGTTGTAAGTTTCACAACAGCCATCTTCACTTGCAGTCTTTCTATTCCTCCTTTTCCTTTTCCACTCTGGCCTTCAATTCCAACATGTCTTGGGATTTTCTAGATATTATTTATTATTATTCATTTAAATGTATCATTGCAGCCCTCTCTCATAGACTTTAGGAGTGATATATATATCAATTAACCATGGAAACCATGCTATGATATGGCCTCCATTTATTACAAAGGGGAAAAATATTTCGGGATATACCGACATGGAATACTTTTGGAGAATAAAGACTGAAGAGGTGGAAAGTAATGTGTGTCTCAAGGAGAACCATAGAACGTTATCAAAGGATTGGAAGAGGGAGGGGGGCAATTACCTGACTGAAAGGGAAAAGTCCCCCTTGTTCTTCCGGCTGGGCCGAGCCAGAAAGCTGCCATGAATTCCTCGTGCTTTGAGTAAGGCCTCAGCATCTATGCCACTCAGGTCACGATGAAACCACCTACTTGGAGGAAGGAAGAGAGAAAAGTACAAACGACGGACATCATAAATGCCACAATTCAAAAAGTGGACATTGGTTTTCCTTCACTTTCTCCACTGCCCCAACAGCACTGACTCCCACCAGAATGTTCATAATTTAGAATTAACAACAAAATAAATGAGAATCATCCAGTGCAGATCAACCAAAGTAGACTGACCCTTCAGTTCATCTGGACCACAGCACTTTCAGATGCAGTCATTTCGCACATTCAGTGTTTGGTCATTAAGCATCATTTGTTTGTTTGTTTATTCATTTATTTATTCACTCAATTTATATAGCTGCCCAACTCAACCAAGTGACTCTGGACAGCTTACAATTCTAACATTCTAAAACAATTACAACAAATTAAAAGACATGAAAACAATAAAAACAGCCACAAAATATAGTGGCAAGTAATCTATGGAGAGAGACAGGGTCATCCACTTTCTAACTGAGCAGAAGGAAAACAGATATATAGCTAGTGAAGCTGTTCCTCCACTAATAACAAGTAGTAGAAGAAACTCTACTTGCTACATTTCTGCTAGAACCTAAAGATTCAGCAGCAATTGCTGCCTCTATTCCCCAATCCAGAGGCAACACAATGATCTGTTCCAACAACTGTCTCCTATACCAGTAACACAGTCATGCTCCCAGAGAACATTGTCCCTCCCAGTTCAAGGAAAAAATTCAAGATCTGCTTAGAAAGAAAACATTAACCTGTAATAGGCAATCCTAAATTTTTCCTTACCTCATTATTTTCCAGGTGACCAGTGGCAGAATCAAAAGTCCAGTTAAGAAAACAATTGAAAAATTAACTGAAGAAGTTTCTTTTAAGATGAGAATAGAAGCAAATGAGTGTTTGATGACTTTCCAGCTGTGAATTCTCTTTTGACTCTACCCATCTACCTCATGCGTTTCCACTGCCCATCACACATTCATAGTCTCCACGATCAGTCCGTGTTGATAGGTATGGACAGAAAGAACTGAGGCAAACAGGCAGTTCCAAGTTGCTGAGCCCTAACACAGGAACAGGAAGCATATCTAACATCGTTGTTCTTCACTGCAAGTTGCAATGTGTGCACTTCTGCTTCTGCTTTTGGGTGCTTTTTCTCCTTCTGTCCTATCTTCCTTGCTCACAACTATTTCTGTCTTTCTTCCTTTTGGGGGGAGGGAGAAAGAATTCACAATGAAGAGTGCAAGGCAGTCCATTCAAGTATCACTACAGGAGAATTCAACACCAGTACTAAATGCAACATAATTAAAGGCAATTACATCCCAAGAGTGTGTAATCAATAAATATAAAAGACTTTGGGGGATTCAGGCCTGCAACAGAGAAAGAAAGCTTTAAACATTTCAGGTTCTATTTTCTTAACGTTATTGTGTGCTTTTTGCTTCCATAGGAGATCCCTTTACCAGACTGCATTATTTTGCCTCATTCAACGGAATGAGGTGGAATTCATAGATGTTCACCACAATGACATATAGCTATATCATGCAACAGTAACACCTTTTTGCACTATCAAGAAACTGTCTACTAGGATCTGGTCCAATTTAAATCCAGCAAAGGTGTTTTCCCCTTGATGTTAATATAAAATGTCCTTTTGTTGGACCGTCTTCCTTCTTTCCATTTGGGTACTTGAATGCTCCTTGAACAGGCCTTATTTCATGACAGGAGAAAGTTTTAATTGCTTATTTCTTCTCAAAGAAGAAATGTTTTTCGTAAAAGGGAAACAAAATTAAAAGGGAAAAAATAAATTTGTTTTTTGAATCTCCCTGCCTAGAAGGGAAATGCCTAGAATAAGACTTTGAGCCAAATATCCAGCATTTCTAATATATCTTTAGGCAAGGTCTTGATTGCACAATCTAAGTAAATAGTGTACTAAATAATGATCTCCACTTGAAGCTGTAGAATAAAATTCATACATAGAAAAAGAGGGGAAAGCATGTTCTTATAAAAAAAAATATGCCCACAATGTAAGTCTCAAGTATAGAATTTGCAAATATTAAAATTTCATTTTAAGGTGTGCCTACGTGTGTTTCAGTCATGCCAACTACTTTCACATCATTTGCCTGATTTCTGGTTACATAGACTCTTCAATGTGGACAGTTTTTAAAAAAGGAGGAAATAGTCTTGCTATAAGATGACATGTTAAAATGGTTAATCTTTTTTTTTACTATTAGTGTTTTTATCTGAAGAATTACTTTTGTTGAACATCAAAGCTTGGGGATTGTACTCTAAACATTGAACCTAACCGAGATAATATTTAACTCCACTAGCAGATATTTTTGGCACTGATAATAAAGTAGCACAAATTCTGATGGCTAACTGCAAGATACAATAATTCCATAGTGTGCAGCTGTTCTTCTGATTTATGTTTATGCTAATGAAAGCTTGTGTGAGTCTGGTCCTGATCATGATGATCACATACAGGTGAAGGAAGCTTAAATTCTTAGCCCAGCCATTTGTTTTTCAAATTGACCTAGAGATGTTTTCTTTAAAGATTCCATTAATGGCAGTAGATATCAAAAAAAATATATCAAAGAGTGGGAGGTTTAGTTTCCTGTCCCCACCCTATGTGCTGTAGATCCCCTCCATACATTCACACAAATGAAAATAATAATCAGTTATGCAGCTGCAGGCTAAATACATAGCAAAGCTTGTTGATCATCCAATCCCTCCCCCCACCCCCCAGTGGCATTCCCAAGATTTCTCGCACTGCTCTGGGGAAAGTGGGGGGGATGCAATGCTCTTAGCCATGGATACTAGCAGAGCTCTAAAATACTGCAACAAGTGCTTGTGGGTCAGCATTTTTTTTAAACCAAAACAAAATATTTGGATCAGCCCAGGTCAAACCTTTGAAGGAAACCTTGGGCGGAGCTGTATGTTCCCTGCCTTTGGCCTGCATTGCTCTTTTGCAGAGTGGCACTTGATGGGGAAATTTGGAGAGAGGGAAAGGAGGGGGGGGGAAGAGTTTAGTTCATTTGCTACTCTTACATTTGGCTTTCCCCAGATGAAATTTAACGCTTGATAGTAAAGAAAGAATGGACATGAGGCTGCATGGCACTGCATATGAGTATTACTCCAGCTGGCTCTATCTGGCAGCAGTGGAAAGCTCCAACATAATACAAGGTCTCTCCTAGCTTTGCTACCTAAGGTCATTGAACTAAATATAGGATTTTCCAGTGTTTGGGGCCTGAAACTTCTAAGCGCACTGGCAAAAAGGACTACGGTGTGAGTTTTCCCACTCACAGAAGATGGCTGCCTATAAACCGGTTACCGCAATGCTCTTTACCACACTACACCCTCTGAGGATGCTCAGCTCACTATCAACAAGTGAACATTCACCTGGCAAAAGCAGAGAGCCCACAGCACTAGGAGTGGTTTTCTGGGAAACTATGAGGGCCTTTAGGTTCCAGAGAATTTTCAGAACTAAAAACATGGCTGGAGATTGACGCTTTGCTCAACAGTGTCTTTGGATAGACCAGTGCTGGCTGGGGAATTCTGGGAGTTGAAGTCCGCCAGGCTTCAAGGGGCCAAGGTTGGACAGCCCTGGGATAGACTAATGTTTTGATGTGAAGAATCAAGCAGGCTTTCTTGGAAGGTACTAAGAGACACTGCTCTGCATTTTCAGCTATCAGGTAGGGAAAGCTACCTGAAAGCAACTCTGACTAAGCCCATCTGATCTTCATGATGCAGTTTTTCCCACGTCCTCTCTCCTGTGGAGAAGTCTGCTCTTCAGCTTGCCTAGGGCCAAAAGAACAGTGACTGCTGGGTAAGACATACCTACATGATGGAGTTGTGCCTAAGGAAACCTGGTAAGACAAGGTAGCAGTGGATTTTCTGGAAGGAAGGAAAACAGAGAGAACAAGACAGCAGATGCAAGGATCCATAGATGAATATGCAAATCACCCTGTAGCTCTATTTATTATTTATCTTGGTGCTTTTAAAAGTTAGCAATGTTACAATCAATTGATTTGGTTGCCTTAGAAATGAAAACAGTACTGAAAGTGCTAGAAGATTAAGTTACACACATCTGAGTCTTTGATATCTTGACTCTACTACTAAACAGCATTGTTATGACGGTTTCTACATTTCAATATATCACAAAATTTTCCTATTCTTCTAAAACATCAAGATACAATAAGCCTGTTTTATTTACCCTTAATCTTCACCTTTATCACCATTGTTTTAATTGACTTTTTAATATTACTAATGAACTACTTCCTTTTACAATGCAGTCCTTATAAATAATGAGTGAAACTACTGGTAAAAATCAGCTTTATCTCCTGAAATTGTTCTGATCACATTGCCAGCCCCATTATTCTGTACTTACTGTATGCTGATGCAAAATTAAGCCTTCATGCATTCAGTGGGCTCACCTCCAGGAAAGTCCATATCATTTATATTAGTATTAACTACCAACAGCTGGCCTACTCTATTGCAATGCCACTAGCTATTAAGGGGGAAATGAATACCTACATTTGCCCATTTGCATGTCAACCCCAGTTGGAGAAAGAACTGTGTACATCCTTAGTTCTTGTTAATTACAGACATGATAAAAATAGAAGCCCATACTTGAAAAAACCTTCACTGCACTGAAACAGAAGAGCCTGAGACCGGAAAGTTACCTGGTGGAGCTAGAAGCCTCTGCCTTAGTGAATAGGTGTGGTGGAAGGAAGCTGAATTCAAAAAGCCGCTCCCAATACAAAAGACTTCATTCTTTTCCCTGCTAAATGTTTTCCCGAGCTGGAGTTAATAAACACGCTGGAGTTAATAAACACCCAGGAGGTTACGGGGAGAGGAAGAGGCTGAACCTGAGGCAAGCAGCAGGTAACCAAGGGAGGGGCTGTTTGCTCTCTCCGCCCCCATTGACCTACCGGGAGGCCCTCCCTGGGTAGATTTGGGAAGCAGGAAAAAAAACCCAGTTCATCCCTGAGCCAGTTGTCTGAAGAACCTGCTCAAAACAGCAGCTTTGACACTTTTTAAATTCAGAGGACTTTCACTGTTTACACTTCATTGTAGATATACTCATGTATTTATAAATTCATCTACTAACTTTGGCTCATGACTTACCTACAATAGGAAGTTTCTTTCCATTAAACTATTTTTTGTCTCTTGGCATATAGAAATGTGCCCAAGGCTGTATTGCCTTCTTAAACTACAGGCAAAGATGGCATTGTGCTTGTTTTCTACGTAATTATAATTTTGGGCCCACTCTTCTGAGCAGTTATGAATCCATCTCCTTCTGTACTCTTAAGGTTAGAGAAATAACCCTCGTTCTAAGAAAAGCACATGGAATACTTTTTAAAATTGAACTGAATACTTTGAACTGAATTTTTACTGTTCCTCACCAATCCCCAGGACCGAGCACATAATGCAGTCAGAAATGTCTGTTCCCTAATTGTCGATTTAGATTTTAGAGGTATGTTGGAAAAAGCTCAAGAGACAAAAGCTCTAGCAATGTGAGCCCCCTAGTGCAGACAAAAGTGATCTACAGTAGATACTCAGGAATAAACCCATCCATGGATAAGCCAAGCCCAATTTGGTAGTGTATTTTTGAACCAAAATTTCTGAGCTTATTGGTGAGTATATACAGTAATTGGAATTAAGGACGATTAAACTGTAGCATTGCTCAAAACTTTTTTAGGTGACACAGTGCAATTTCTTAGGATGAGTGGATATTTCAAACTTAATGCCCCCCAATCTCATGAAATTTTGTGGGTTCACAAGTTTGTTATACTTCAGGAGATTCAACTATTTAATTAAAAAAAAAAAAGAATTCCAAAGGCACCATCCTAGATGATGTATTGCTAATGTTTCGGCTCATAACAGTTTTCAATTTCTTGGGTAAATAAGGAAATTTTTGTTCAAGGAGCATGTTCATATTATAGAGTTCACTATGAAATTAGACATCATGAGAAAATATAATCTGTCATTCTAACTTCCATGTTTTATGACTAAAACGTGTTTTATAAACTCACCCAATTGTGGCTTATTGAATAAATTAGGGCTAAACAGTATCAATTAGATATAGCAATGATTACCAGGTTGGACAGCTTTAGAAGGGATCTGAGCGTTCAGGGATATCTATCTACAGAGGGGCCAAAAAAAGTCAAGTTGTGACACCGCACTCAAAGCTGCATCTTTGGCCAAAAGGAAAAAGCAGTGCTTAAATTGCACGGTTGCAGCCGCTGTCTTGGCACTCCCACTCAATGAAGAATTGCCAAGGCTGAGAACACTGCTTTTAAATTCGTCAGTAGGGACACTGGTGCTGCTATCCTCCAGCATCTGGTTTGTGGATTGTATAGGACAGGGGTGTCAAACTGAAGGCTTAGATCTGGCCAGCAGTGCTGCCCTAGAAACAGTGAAGAACCAGCCTGTGGTGCCTCTGCTCCGGGGGTGAGGGGTTGTGTGTGGAGCTCAGGGAGTCGAGCTCCGTTTTCACTGCCAGAGGGCTGCAGGAGGCTGTCACAGCTGAAAACTGAGCTCAGGAGCCCATTTTTCCAGGCAGACTGTTCGGCCATCACAAGTGCCCCCATGAGTGATGTCAAGCTGGCCAACGCCTACCCTGGCCACACCCACCCCAGCCCCCCAGCCCCAACACAACTGATGCAGCCCCCAATGAAATCAAGTTCGACACCTCTGGTATAGGACAACCAAGTGAACCATTAGTGGTCCTGGGCTTTTATTTTACTCACTCTCTGGAGTATGAGGGCGGGTGTTTTCTATCTAATTAGGTCAGTGGCTGTGGTAAATGTAATCCTCTCCATTGTTTTTTTTTCCAGTGTGAATACGCCTTAACTGGCTACCTGGCCACAAGAGGCCCTTCTTCACATGCATTTTTTACATGTAAATGTTTAATGATGTAATAACAAGCATACCCAACTGCCCTATTGTCTACTCATCCAGCAATGTTGGTATCAATGTTGGCACTGAAAATGAGTCTCCAATCCTGTGCTCTCCTTAATAGTCAGGGCTACTTCTAAGCATTTGCTTCAATAGTATCAGATACAACTGTGTAAAGAAATAGTGATATACCGTACATCAGATTTTTAAAATCCTATCTTTATTACTTTTTAAGTAACTCAAAGTGACAAACATGTAATACTCCTTCCTCCTCCTATTTTCCCCTCAAGAACAATCCTGAAGAGAGTTGGACTTAAGAGAGTGACTAGCCCAAAGTCACCCAACCAGCTTTCATGCCTAAGGCAGGACCAGAATAAATAATCTATTATAGGTTTCTGGGCCAGCAAGGTGCTCAAGGTGATTACAGAAGATTACTTCTGTGATTACTTTATAAAAAACCTGTGAGAGGTTGGCATGAGAATAATATACAGTTCTGCTTCAGATATTTATAGTAAACTAGAAACATATACACTTTCTAGTAAATTTGTGAACAGAAATGGTTAGCCTGTGTTTTTACAGATTTTTTTAAAAAAATTCTACCTACTCAGCCTGGCAATTAACCAGAATGATAAAATGCTTAACTATATACACACACTTTCAAGCAAGAATTATGGACAACGTTCAATTTTCAGTGTCTTAAAATATGAATATAGGAATTGTGAGAAATCCTGTTTGTAGCTTTTTAATAATTTTGATATTTTCAGAACCAAATTTGGATTCCAACATGTCAGTCTAATTTCCCAACTGTAAAGCACAGGAAAATCATGAAAGTCCTACTATGAAATGCGAATGAATAGCCTAAGACCTGATATTCATTAAAATATATATGTTTTAGTAAGTAGAACTTGAAAAAGCTGACACAAAAACTCTCAGTCAGAAATATGATGGGACATATTTACAAGAAGTTTTTATTCATAAGCACAAACAAATATTAAGGACTATAGAAAAAAGTCAAAACACCTCTTCCATGATAACGAAAGAAACAATGCCCAAGTTTCAGCCCAAGTTAAGACTGATGTGGAAACATAAAAATATAGATCCCACCGGAGGCTGCCTGCTTCATGATGTGGCAACCGTACCTCCTGCCCCAGCTCCATGGGGAGGTAGAGTCATTGGAGGCAGAAATATAGACTTCAGCTTCCCAGACATGCTTGCAATTTCAGGATCCTGAGACTCGTATGATTTTATCAATCTGGCAAACTTTAGGACTCCTAGAAAAAGGAAAAAAAAAACTGATTTGATAAGACAGTTTTGATACATTGTTTTTCTTAGGATCTCTGTGGACTGTACAATCCAGGTGGGTAACTTTCAAGGGCTACATTAATTTTCCCTATCATGGATATATTATCCTTTTTATTCATGAAAAAAAAAAGCTGAAACACTTTCTTCCCCTTTTGCTGCTAATTTTCTTGACTTGATCATGGACAGAGTCCAGGGGTACAAAAAAATGGGTCTGTGATGCTTGCAGCTCATGAGTTGACAATTTCTAATGCTACGGTTTATGCTCTGAAGTATAAGATGCACCTAACTTTGGGGGAGGAAAACAAGAAAAAAAAGGCTGCCTTTGCCTCCCAGCAATTTGCCTCCTTGCAGCAAACAGCCAACAGCCTGTTTCAGCTTCAGCAGAGCCTGATTAGCACAAGCGGCTGATTGTCGGTTAGATCGGCCTCCTGATGATCAGCTGTTTCAAGCTGCAGGGATCACCATCGCCTATTACTGCCTCCCGCACCCCATTTTTGGCCTCCGTGTGCCATTTTCCGCCCATCCCGATCCCCGCCGCCCAGAATGGGCTGAAAATGAGACACGCAGAGGCCAAGAGCGGGACATGCGGAGGCTGAAAATGGGATGTGGAGGCCAAAAATGGGGCGTGTGAAGGCAGCAATAGGCAATGGTGATCCCTGCAGTCTGAAACATCTGACTGACGGGAAGCCAAGCCAACCACCAACCAGCTGCTTATGCTAATCAGGCTGTGCTGAAGCTGACCAGGCTGTTTGCTGTTTGGAGGCAAATTGTTGGGAGGCAGAGGCCGAAGGGCCAGTGGGTGGGTGTGGCTCCGGGAACATTCACTGTATAAGATGCACAGACATTTCCACCCATTTTTGGAGTGGTGGGAGTACGTCTTATACACCAAAAAATACAGTATATATTTTTGTATATCACTTTCTGTGAGAGAGGTGGGCAGGTTCGAAATTTGATAAATTTAAAGGCTGCCTTCCATGGCCCAAATCATTGGGTATGCTGGCACCACAACTAAATCAACCTCTCCCTGCCACTGCCAATTAATTTAGTCATGAACTTACCTTCCCCATCATTACTGAAACCATAAGCTTTGATCACATCCTGTTGTATCTGGGTAGCCACAGGAAGCAGGAACTGAAGCATCTTCCCCATGTCATTGCAGGCATTGTCCCTGGCTTCCTCCAGGCGCTGAGCATTTTCTGGAGATCCAAATGCCTTGATCACTTCCGCCAAAACCACTAAACAGAAAAAAAAAATGTTGTACCATATTAAGATTCCCACCAGTTGAAGTCTGTAAACCTTTGTAAAAGCAGCTTGTTTTTCTCTAAAAAGTACAATACTTGAATTTCATTCTTTCTGCCTTTGCATTTCCATTCTCCTTTGCGCAAACAGCCATCTTGAGACAGTCAGGGATGGTCTCAAACTTAGCAACTTTTAAGGTATTTGGACTTCAACTCCCAGAATTCCAGAGACAGCATGCTGATTGAGGAATTCTGGGTGTTGGAGTCCACATATCTTAAAGGCCATTTGCTCCTGGAAGCATGTGCTAAGAATAGCATCCAACCAGTATTGTGCCAATATCACCATACAGTATCAAGGACAAGCATTGCTGAGGAATGCTAGACGATGCAACAGATTTATTGAGAGGAAATTGGCCATAATGTTGTTCACAGAAAATATCTTGTAGGCCAAAATGATCAAGATATTAAAAAAGTTGTTTCACTTTTATAAAAAAAGGAAAAGGTAACTGTTTTCAAAGGTGTGCAGCTCAAGAGATAATGTATCCTTCCAGCATCCTCCTTCCCTTAAAACAAGACTTTAATCGGTCCTGTCCAGGCTTAGCAACAGGGTCAATTGCTACATGCAAATAATAATAGGTTGAGTATTCCAAGCTTCACTATGAAGCTCAGAGCCACTACACGAGATAGACAGCTACATAAATGTGAGATCAATAGAAAGAGAAACAAATTCAGAAAAGGTCTTTAGGACTAAAAATCACGCTCACTAAAAATACCTTCCTTTAATCCAAGCAGAAGTAGTTCTGTCACAAACGTATTTTTGAAGAGAAGAAAAAAGATTCTGTAATTCCTTTGGAAAAAAATGTATTTTCAAAGGAACTGGCAAAACAGCTATTTCTCGAGCTGTAGGCAGAACTCCAGGACCTGGAGCTGAGGTCTCCAAACTTGGCAACTTTAAGACTTGCGGAAGTCCGCAAGTCTTAAAAGTTGCCAAGTTTGGGGCCTCCTGACCTGGAGGATAACC